AACAACAACAACAACAACAACAACAACAACAACACAAGAAAGAAGAAATATTAGTTCATAGTGAATTTTGGCCAGTGTCTAGATAGCTTCAAACGCTTATGGTAGCATGGGTGGCGTTCGCGGCTAACGCGTCGTCTTTCACCGCTGTGAGTCCAACGGGTCGGGTGTTGGTTCGTTTGATGTGTTGTTCTCTCCTATGCTACGAGGGTTTTCTCCGGGTTCTCCGGTTTCCTCCCCGTAAAAATCAACATATGTGAGTTGAACGTTGTGTGCATAAAATATTACCAATATAATGTAGTGGTAGTGCGTGTGAGCGAAAAGTGTCCCCAATTAGTGCGAAAGCGCTAGAACGACTAGACACTTTTTATTCCTACTTACCGGCAATTTTTAACAGCATCTCTTAGCGTACACGCAGGCTTCACTTTTAGCATCGTCTGTCCACCAACAATCCTCTTCAATCGAATGACAGTACTTCAACTTGTTAGTGGGGCAAGGACCTAGATAGACAGGTGGAAAATAGATTATGACATGACCAGAAGAATGCAATGTGGAAGTTATATTGGGAATCAAGGTTGGGGTAGCGGTAGTAAGCTAACGGGGCTCTTTATTAATTCTTGGGGCTCAAGCTCGATTGCTCGAGTACTCGGCGTAGCGGCATCACACGTGGGTAGAGTTTGCAAGGTCTCTCCCTTCAGATTCGAAGGTTAATTCGCGTTTTTCTTCGGGTTTTCTGGTTTGTGTCCCTTCCTAAAACCCCAAGACGCTTAATTCCAATTCGATCAGTGAGTTAGAGATGCTCTAAATTTTTATTTTGTTTTTAGAGGCTAGTTGCTTAATTCGGCGTTTGGTCTGAAAGTTTTTTCATTGGCTGTATCAGGATTCTATCTTTAACCGACCACCATGAGTTTAAGAATGTCCTGTTTTTACATGAGGTTGTGTAGGGCTCGTGACCATTTTGAATAATGTAATGACAGATTGTGGCAATGAAACCAGCTTTATACTTAGTAATTTCAAAATATCTCATACTTACTCTCTCGTTTAGCTTCTAAAATATCATCATCAACTAAAAGCGAAGAAAATGGTTGAAAAAAAAATAAAAATATTTCAAATTAAATTTTTTTTTACCAAAGTGTTTGAGACTAATGAAGAAAAAAGACTAATAAAATCGAAGAAACAAAAGGATTTTATAACAAAACTAATAATAATAGAATGGAAAAGGGTACTTTACATTTAACGTCGTCATTTCATTAAATTCATTTTTTTCCCGTATTTTTTAAACTTGTTATTGTGATCGTTTTGTGTTGTCGCTTAGCGGCAAAGGATACCGGACCGCGCGCGCGGGTAGATACTAGAGAGTTTTAGATTGACTTTTTTTTCTCCCCGCAAACGGCAAACATGACCACGTTTTCATAGTTTTCGTGTATTTTACTTTACCTTTTACAAACCTTCTCACCAAGCGCAAATATTCTTTTGTTTTTCTACTACTTGGACTTTTTTCCGATTCTTTTTTAGTCATTTAAAAGAATTTTTTACTGGTCAACTGACGTTTCACGTTTGCCGTGAACGTAAATCTAAAACTCTCTATTGACAAAATACCGCCCGCTCAAACAGCCAATAAGAACGCACGATTTTTTAGGATACCGGACCGGAAAAAAATTAAAACATTTAAGTTTGTTAGCTTTACTGGATAACCATTCTCATTGGAAGCCATTTTAATGTTACTACATGAAGTACCGTCAGTATACGATAATCATTCTTATGGGAAGCTATTTCAATGTTACGGCATGTCGTACCGTGTACGTGCTGTAAGGGAGTACCGTATGTTTCCCACTCATATGAAAACTGCCCTATCAATGTAGTTGAGGACCCGCCAGCTCAGACTTTGTGGCGAATTTCAAATTTAAAACGGCCTTGTTAACGAATACGATATCCAGACTAGGAATATAATTTGATAACTGGACAGATCTTAATTTCGTTTCTCTAGATTTGAGTATGTTTTTATCCTTTAATCAATCGGGCAGGCACACTGACTATAATTATAACTATAATTATAACTATAAGTCGACGGGTATTTTTCCTCGTAAATTCTTAATTGTAGTCAGCTTTGTTAACTCTTACCTGCTGGTAAAGCTGTTGTGAAACTAGCAAGAGCCACAAGAAGGGTGAAGATCAGGGCAGCCTTGTACATTTTCAGAGGTTGTCTGCTTTAAGAGATACTAGCTGTGATACCAAGTGTCCAAGATTTGAATGAAAGGTTAGTAGACTATTCCTGCGTATTTGTGCTCTTCTGTGATGGACCATAATCACCACAAACACGTGGTGACCAACATTGATGATCATTGGACACGTGACACCAAGGTAACCAACAGAACTAAGAATTATCTCAGTAGGAATGACGAGGTTTCGATTAAAAAGGTTATCGAATAAAGGGGAAAAACTTAGTAGAACTACAATGGAAGATCAAAGAAAACATTACTCTTAGAAACGAAATACTCTTAACCTCTTTAATTTTGAATTATATTTTGAAACTTGGAAATGGAAGTTTGCTGATCCACATTCCATCTTTTCGAGGACCAAAATCCATAGCAATACGGAACACCATGCTGATGTACATGTATAACAGTATGTATTGCTACCTTGCCAACAGGAGTATGACTATTCTGTTAACTAAACATGTTCCTTACACGTTTGAAACATCAGCTCAGTGAGTTAGCACTGCAGCTGAATTCCCTGGAATTTTGAAATATTTCAGGGACTTCTCTTATCTAAAACGTTTTGTAGCTTGGCACTCGAACCAATTCAAATTATTACAGGATCTGCTTCAAAACTCAACAAAATAACAAAGAATTAAGCAACGTAGAAATTTTTAAAAAAAATACAAGGGCGGTTGCTCAGTCTTGCTTCGAATACTTGGAATTTAAACAAGTATAAGAAAAGCATTGGGAACCTAAACTGTTAAAAGTACAACTATTATCCACGAGTTCGTCAAAGGGCGGTTTGATTATGAGGAAAGTAGCCCAAAACAATCAGCGTGGGGTTTGTTGATCACGGTTGCTCAATGTTACCGAGTTATGACTATGATTGTTGAAGAAAGAAAGTCAATTTGAGCCCGCGATGTGCACGCGCTCAAAACCCGCTGAAAAATCTACAAGGTTTTGTTGAAGAACCATACGCGTTTTGAGCTTCAACCATGGGATGTAAGAGAATATTTGGTTTGTGACGGGGAAAATGCTTGTTAGTAGACCAAATAAATCACTAATTACTCGATTGGATCGTTCTATCCATATTTTATTGATTGTTAGATGAATAAACATGAATTCCATAGTCTTTTTGACTACCTTTTGCTTTGATAAAACTCGCCACTGTGCACTCCTCAGTCGTCCCCTCCTCTTCCCTTCCACTCCACTCCATCCCGCCCGCACCGATCCTCAGCTTGTTTGGTCATATTTGGCAGTCAAAGAGATTGGTTGCAAAAAACATTTACCCGTGTTGTGCTGAAAGCAGACATTTTATGAGCAAAGACTTTCGCTTTGAGCATCATGCCAGCGAATTCATTGAAGCTAGGCCGACTAGCACTGGTCGCAAGAGGTCAACTGCTCAAGTACTGTCAAAGCCCTAAGGAGAGACCAACCACAGTCAAAATTGAAGCCTAATGAATTTTTTATTTTATTTGATATCTTTAAGTGAGCAACGAGGGAAACGTTGCGTGACCGACACTAAGAACCTCTGCGTAGAAGGCTAGAATAAACCCAGCTATTGCTTCCTCTTTAATACCCTCGCGTGTGAGCGGTGGAAAACTGAGTTGCGCGTGTGACACTGCGTGAAATCTTTCTCGACGTACCTCTGCGCGGCGTTCCAATCGGCTGATCGAATCTGCAGTGTTCAGCCTGACCTTACTGAATAGTACATAATAAAACCTTTATTGACTGAATTAGATTGCTGGCGAATTCCAAAGATCGAAAGGCAAAAAAATGCTTTTTTTCCTTCCTTCCCTGTCTCTATCACTGTTTGTGTCTTGTCGTTTTTTTCAGTACCTTTCTATGAATATATAACTTTCTCCTGTTCTCCTTTTTTTCTCCTTTATTTTTCTTTACCATTTTATTTCGATTTATCAACACCAACTTACTAACCACCAGTGAAATAATAGCCGAGCGTTTGTGGCCCTGAACAGGCCAAACCAGAGCATGAAATTCAAGGGGTGTATTAATCCTTCACCTTGTATTACCTTCCAGATCTCCAAATGAGTGATCGGTATTTAGTTCCTCGACAAGGAAAGACGTGTACAGACTTGTGGAGAAGCTCCTTAACTTACTCTGTAACGTATGCAATGCCCTCAAGTGTCTTAATTGCTCCATAAGTACTTCACAACAGACCCTTATTCGCCCAAAAAGTAACTGTTAAAATAAATGTTTTAGCGTCTATGAAAATTTTTTATCGACTTCGTTTTTGACCATGTAACAAGAGAGCGTTTAAGCTCTATTGCATGTATATTTTACCGAGCTTTAGGACGTGTCGTCCATTATCAGAGCTGGAAATTACCGAAAATAAAAACAAAAACGCACGAGCTAGCTAATTATACAAGTGATATTAACTCGAAGAAATAAAATTCGGAGTTTTTGTCTAAATTCTTAAAACCAGGGAACATAGTATAAGATAGAGTACTTATGAGATAGCAGGATGATAAATAATAGTAGAATAGAATAATATTTTAACCTTGCTAAAGACAGATCAACCTAAAGCTTGAAACATGCCTTATCACAAAGCGATATGTATACCGTAGTATCAATTACCTACGGTCAGGACACAGTGTTGTAAGAACTATTTTTAAAATGAAATTGAAACTATACCCCACATAAATATGACCGCTGCATTAAGAACTGGTCTTAACAGTGGCTGAAGCTTGTGGGTTGTTCGGAACAATGGCTCTCAGTCACGTAGTTTTTGTTTGTATTTTGGTGGTTGCGTTTTGGGATTTTAAGACTGTTGCGTATCCTGATTTTATCGAAGAAAATGGTTTGAATATCAATGGGTAAGCACTAAAAAGTCTGCCTAAAGACTAGATAAAGAAACTAGATATTATTAACTCGAAAATTTATACTAGCTACTTTATACACCACTGTATAATTAATTCACATTTGTAATCTCTATTTTTTTATTTTCTCCTTTAATTTTACTATTAAGCGTGACTTTCAGTAATTCATGTGCACAATAAACTCAAGTAGGTCAAGTCAATATATTAATATGCAAGTTTACTAATCAAACATTTGCCTTTTATTAGTTCCAATATTTGCCAAGATCCCACTTCCAAAACCAAAAACGTCACATTTCGAGAAAAAGTCAAGAAGAAAGTGTCTTACGCCGTCCCATGCTATCATTTGATTCCAATGATTATAGTGATATCGAAAGTACTTGTTAAAAATTGCACCAAATACAAGTAGGTGTTTAAGTATATAGAATATGTTTTTATGACCTGAGTGAAGCACTGGAAATGTCTCAGAGTTTGACTTTTTGTTGGTTCTAGAACAGAGATAGAGGAAATAGAAAAAGTATTTCCCCAAAAGCTCCACGGGTATTCATTACGCTGCTGTTATGGATGGAAGAAGATCAACCAAAACGATACAGAATGCTTGAAACGTAAGTTTATACATTGAGAGACTTTACGCATTGGGCATTCAAGTGGGACTTTACGCATTGGGCATTCAAGTGGTAGTTCCTTTACATACTTTTCTTTTTTTATATGGATAAGCAATATGCGTCCATGGATGTAAACACGGCAAGTGTGTGGCAGCTGATACTTGTGCCTGTGATCGAGGTTGGATAGGCTTCACGTGTAGCCAAGGTAAGGCGTGGTTCGTTATATTGGTAAAAAAAAAAAAGAACAAACAAAAAATGCTTAAAGTTCTCTGTTATTCTGTCATAAATAAATCGTTTGATATCGTATTGAAGCAAATTCTTTTATATTTAGAATGTAAGAACACTCTAGGCCCGTAATTCTTGAAAGGAACTTAATATTTCAATTCTTTGCTTGACTTTCTTATGAAGACGTCAACGAATGTGACAAGAACAATGGCGGCTGTCAACAAGAATGTCTCAACACTCCAGGTTCACATACGTGTGGCTGTACAAGAGGATACATCACTGATGCTACGGACAAAACCAAATGTAAAGGTATGGCATAATACTCTAGCCACACCGTTTAAAAATGTCCATGCTAATAATGCTATTTCCTTATCATTATCAAACAGATATCAATGAATGCCAGGCACCACAGCCACGTTGTCTCTGCGCTAACAGCGTTCCACAATGCAATGCAACTTGTGTGAACACTATTGGTAACTTCAAATGCGTCTGTCCTAAAGGGTACCAATTAAACGGGCCTAACACCTGCACTGGTTAGTGACTTTTTCCTTTAGCTACGCTATATGCTTTGACCTAAATTCATCGGTCTGCTTCTGTATTGATAGATGTAGACGAATGTCTGTCCAGCATTACTAACGACTGTCCACACAAGTGCATCAACAAGCCAGGAAGCTATGAATGTCCATGCTTTAAAGGATTCAAGTACGACAAGAAGACCAGTACTTGCAAGGGTAATGCACAAATTGAATGATTTACAAATGAAAAATCAATGGGGTCAAACAAATGGTGGGAGTATGGATGGAAGGATTGAATGAGGGGTGCATGGGATGAATGGATAGATTGAAGAATAAATGTATACAACTAATCAATGTACTATCTATAATGATCGTTCCACGTCAGATTTAAACGAATGTGCAGACAACAACGGTGGATGTGAGCACAGATGTCTAAATTTCTACGGTTCGTATCGTTGTCGTTGTAATCGTGGCTACCGCATGGCACCAGACCGTAGGAAGTGTCTACCATATATATAAAGGTAACCTACCAACACGATAAATCTTATCAAGATTGATATTCTAGAACGCAAGTCTTCCTGATAATCGTGAACCGCATAAATTGGTTGCTATAAAAGAGAGCCGAAGAGAAGTCAAGACCAAATCTCCGTACATAATATTAAAACGATCGACACGGAGGATGGAAGTCAAGTCAGCAATCATACATATTATCTTGCATTTTATTAGTATTCGAGTTTTCACATATTTTGACCTGGTTAGTTAATGCACTAAATATATTTCGTTTTTCAGTGAACACACCGTAAAACTATCCTTGGAAGATTCATTGAATTACGCCGGAAGAAATTGGAAATATACCCTAAAGGAAGACAAGAATTATCAAGCAGTTTTAATACTGACAACTAAAATCAGCATGTTATACATTAAAAAAATAGCTGAGGGTGGGGGATATCTAAGAAATTATCACAACCTAATCTAGTCAGTGAAAGCCCTTATTAAACTGTAATGGCATGTCGAACATACATTTTTAGATAAACATTGGGTTGGCACATTTAACGTTAGAAGCATAGAATCAATTTTTCTGAGCTATTTTTCAACCCGGCATGTCCCTATTAATCGTTTTATCATAGCGTGATTGTCTATGGTGTTTATAAAGAACCGTCACGTTTCGTGCTTTAGCAAAAAGGGCAAAATAACTCAGGCCTGGCAAGTTACCGCCTTATCCTGCAGCTATTTCATTGTGAAATAGATATTTACTAATACACTTAGTATTTCACTAGTTATATGCCTTAACTCTATGCAACAGATGAGGATTTTCAGTGGCAAATGAGATCTGATAAGAGTGAAAATGTTATTTTCAGTCAATTGGGTACTAAGTGGAGGAGCTAATAATAATGTAATTTAGATATCATGTTAAAGGTCAAAATTATCAGGAATGTGCTTCCTTGTTTTGTTCTGTCTTGTTTTCTCATACCAAAATAACGTGATGATCCTCAATGATGGCCAGTGGCCAGACTGTAATGTTTTCTCAATTATTTTCTAGCTACCTGCAAAGTTTACTATCCATTTTTGAGGAGTTATTATGTCATCGTCTATATGGATTAACATTGCAGAGAAGGAACGGGGACTGATTCATGCGTCTTGTATGTAAATGTAACACCAAGCAATTTGCAATGCTAGAATATGATTTCATATGTACTGTAAGGCCGACAACACGAAAAACTCGATATGGCTTAATAGAGCTTTTAAAGGATACTCGCTTTGAATCCACTTGRACTTTGATTCATGGTTCAGGCAAGTTGGAACATATCGGTGGACTGTGGGGAAATAAACAACCTTTTTACTTGTGGCTGGAGGGACGTTTCCATGTCTTTAGTGAATTCTAATTGCTTTGTGCGAACTTTTGTCACTCAAAAATGAATTTTCCTTGTAAATGTTCTTTATAAAAGCCAACTAGCCTTAGATCTCACACAGTGTGAATGAATCAAAATAAATACTAAAATAAGTCGGAGAGCCGATATCGATATTTCGGTAGAAGGATTAGATGTTGCTTGGAATGTTGTTCCTGTTTTGATCCCAATATTAGAAAGCAAACAAGGTTTTTGTTACATGTGCACCAGTAACATTAGAAGCTTGAAAAAAAAGATAATAATAATTCTACGAGTCACCCAAAACGCCAGGCTCGCTTTGAGGCCCGTAATTTAGTAGACTTGAACTAATAATGTCATCCTTGCAAACTGGGCTTTAGATTTTATTTGTAGCTGTTTTTTTAAGGAAAGATGTTCAAGAATTGGAGTTTTCAGTTTTTAATTCTACTGCTCACTTTGGTTCTTGTCTACTCCCAGAAGGTGCTAAACCCCGATATGTTCTACCTCAAAGGGTATGAAGTTAACTTAGTAGCTATGGGTGTGTATGCATGAGTTTATTCATTGTAGACAATGGGCGAGTAAATGTTACGAAGCACAAGTAACCACTTAATAGATGAGGCAATGGGATTCAAATCATTTGGACTACAATATGAAATCGTTGTTAAAAAATAATAGTTTTATTTACATAAATTTTCAATTGACTTGAAATCCACGCGAAATAATCGCAATCTAAAGGCTCTATAAGTCTCTTTTCTCAAGGGGATACCGAACAAAGACCAATTCAGCAGGGCCTTTACTATTGCTTTCGTTGTTTTATATTGATTTTTCAAGTTGTATAAAAACATTAATTCAAATATTAAAATATCACGGAAATTGCTAAAAAAATTGTTGCTAAAGCTATGCCGATCAGGACCAAATGAAAAGACATTTTTACCCATGGGAGCGCCAGCATGGAGGCGACGTTTTGTAAACTCTCCAGATTTCTTCAAATTTTTGCTCATATTTACATCCTTTTACAAGCTAAACAGAACCATCTTGGCAAGCGTACAATAACCACCTCAGCTACTTATCATTACGAGTAAATTCTATGAATCTATTATTTATTCATTTTTATTCATTATTGTATTACTGTTGTGTAATTTAAGCTTAAAGTCTGTAAAGGGTTGTTGAATCTTGTAGAATTGACGCTATATAAAGTAAAGGTATTATTATTATTTATTATTCGTTGTTTATTATGTTAATATTTGTCTTGGTTCTAATTATGCATAGAGGAAATGTTTGCCAAAACACAAGTTATGAAAGTTTTACTTACCCTCCGATGCCGGAAGTTACCCATTTCATGGAAACAAGGGAAACCTCATGTGGACTTTTTGGTTGGAGTCGTTGCAATGTAAGAAGGTGAGGTATTCAACACGTACAACCTCGAGATCAGGGGAAAACCGGGGTCTATCCCGTCATGTGTTGCACAAGTAGTATAGGGGATGGGGGTTCCAGCGCAACGACCAACGGAGGATTACCCGTCTAAAGTGAATTCCTCGATTCGTACCGCGATTACCCGCATCCCGTGTCTATGTAGTTAAATATGTTAGTCTATATATGGAGTGCGAAGATTGTAAAGAGTTTGTTTATGACTTCTGTGTAAAGTGCTT